TCGCAAACCCCAACATTTCCATGCTCTGAGAGAGGAATCCGATGATCCCACTGGGGGCGCTCAGCAGACCCCGGCACTCGTATTAGCACTGGGCCAGTGCAGTCTCCCTCACCCCAAAGGAGGAGAAACTTGGTCTTTCAAGGCTCCCATACTCCCTGGGCTTGTACATGCCCGGCCTGTGTCACTGCAACCGGGGCATGGGGGGCCCATGCACTGCGGGACCAACCTGAGTCTCGCTACCTCTTACGTGAGGACACTCAGAACACAGTGGTCAGTGGTTCCCACTGGGCTCCTGCACACGCAGTGGCCCTGCCCTTCTGATGTCACAAGAAGCGTTGCCCCCTCTGAGTCCAGCCCTCCCCCGCCCCCCAAGTCCCAGCCAGCCCGGACACCCAGCCCACTTCTCACCAGGGGCAGGAGAAGGGGTGGCAACAAATCCAAACCCGGCCACTCGGGGGGACTCCTGGGGGATCAGCTCCTTGCCGTCGGGGCCCACCTTGCCCTGTTTGTGCTGCAACAAGCAGAGAGACTAGCGTCAGGGGCTGGCACCCACCCTCCCCACCTGGCTGAGAGCCAGATGCAGAGGAACACGCTGGAAGCATTCTCCTCCCCCAGCAAAGCTGACAGCCCCCTTGGGGAAAAAGAGGAACCCCGCCTCCCCCCAAAATAAAGACTTTAATGGCAGACAGAGTGAGCCCCCTCTTCCCAGCCAGGGCAGTGCCGGGCCCCAGCCCAGGGCGACACCCAGCTATGGAGCCCGGGTCTTTCCTCAGACATCTGTGGAGTCTCCCAAGCTCCCGCTTCCCACCCTCAACCCTAGTCGCCAGGGGTAAGCACCCACTCAACTTGCTCCCAGGCTCTGGAAACTCTGCCATCCGTGCCCTGTCCTACTCCCAGCCCACTCCTCTGGGGCCAGGCTCCCTTCTGGCACTTACTGGCTCCCCTGTGTGCCCATCCCACCATCCACCCACAGCCCTGCCTGGCCTGTGGGTGAGGGCCTGGCCAGACTCTCAAACGCCTACCATCAAGGGAGCTGCCCAGTTCTGGGCCCTACGTGCGCACACACGCACACACACACGTGTCTGACCAAGACAGTGCTCCAGTGGAGACCCACAGGAAAGGGAGCCTGGGGGCCCAGCTGTGGCAGAGCTCCGGCAGAAACTGTTACCTGCTCAGCTCCACCAACCCCCAGGATGGTCCGAAGGCAGGGAGGCAGCTGAGCCGTGAGACCACGCCTAGCCACACCCGACCCTGCGCGCCGTGCTGGCCCCTCTGCTCACCTGGGCGTTGAGGGCAGCGGCCTGCTGCAGCTGGGACCGGCTCAGCGCCTGGCTGAAGGGGTCCCTCAGGAAGCGGGTGTTCTTGTGCACCACCTGCCGGGGCTTCTTAAACAGCTGCTCTTCCTCGGGCACACCTGGCAGACAACAGCAGAGACGGCAGCAGGGCTCAGAGCGGGTGGACCTGGCCGGCTGCAGGCCAGCGGCCCGGGGGGACGGGAGCACATCCTCCCAGCCAAGTCCCTCCCAGCTGCAGGGAAGCCGGACGCCCCCACTCAGTTCCACATCCACGGACACGCCTCCCGCTTCGAGAAGCCAGGGAAGCACGTTCACCCGTGACGGCCAGTGCAGACCGGCCCAGTCTCCCACACGCACGCACACACACACACACGCGCGCGCGCGCGAGGCTGCACCTCCCTCTTCAGGCACCAGGGGCACAGCCACTCACCCTCTGGGTAGTACATGAGGGAGTTCTTGGCCTTGTACTTCCAGGTCTCCACGCCGGACTGGCTGCTCTCGATGGCCTGGCGCTCTGCTGATGGGAGTGCAAGGTTATCTTTCTGTCTCTGCAAGCACATGGGGGAAAGTTGAGGCTCACAGGGGTCCTGGCCCTGGGACGCCCTCTCCCCAGACAGGGGCCCCTGCACCCCTGCGCCCCAGCGTCACCTTCTCAAACTCCTCCTCGGCCTGGTACAGCCAGGCGTGGCGGGCTCGGTTCTTCTCCTTAGCCACCTCCATGATCTCCTGGAAGGAGGCGTTGTCCTCGCTGGTGTAGCGGCTCAGGAAGACATCCAGGCTGGGCAGCGGCTCCTTCTCTTCCTCTTCCTCTCCAGCCTCTCCTGCTTGGGGTTACAGACAGGGCACGCGGTACACAACCAGCACAGACACCACTCTTCACTCAGCAGGGAGAGCAGCGCCCGGTCCCGGGAACAATGCTGGGAGCAGGGCTGGCATCCGCACAACCCTGGGCCTGGGCGCTGCCCGTGAGGGCCCACACTGCCCGAGGAGGCCCCCTTGAGCTCGGTGTCCGCCCACCGACTGCCCAGGAGCATCTGAGGGCACGCTACAGATGCCTGGTCAGCTGCACTCACCTGCTGGGTACTAACAGAACCCTGGGACCTGATTCAGACTAGGGGGCCAGGTTGGGCATCATCTTTTGCCAGTCCTAGAAGACCTAACCTCCAAAGCGCCTAGCCGTCTCCTTCCCTCCTTAGGATGTCCTTACCCTAACTACTCTTCCTTCTCTTTTGTTGTTCTAGGCCCCGAGGGCAGGGACCCCTATGAGCCAGCGTTCTGGATGAGGCCTTGCGGGTGTGGGGCCAACTGCCCGGGGGTGAACACACACCGTGGCACCTGTGCTACTGCAGCAGGCTGCGGACTAGAACCTGACAGCCAACGGCACCTTGTCCACCTACACGTGCATGGACGTCGGAGACCTGACTGTGGTGTGGGGGGCCACTTAAACTCGGCTCTTCCCTGGAACACTCCCTTCTCACAGCTGGGATGTGTGACCCACGCCCCGGGGAAGTATGGTGGGAGAGACCTCATTCACACGCAGCGAAAGCACACAGCCCCCACCCAAGACGGAGGGGAAGGTGGCTGAGGAGGGCGGCGATGACCTAGACAGATGCCTTTCTCCATGACATGTCCTAAACACACACACACACAACAAGCAAGCAAGCAACAAGCACAGAGGCCCTGAGATGCCTTCAGGAGGTAAGGAGGAGGGGGAGCCCGCAGGGTGGGAGCTGGCCAACCCGACACTGACCTTTAGTGGCCCAGGGGCCAAGGGCTGCCTCACCCGTGGGCCCTGGGACAAGATGTGATGTACAGCCCCTTGGACCACCCCCACCCAGGGGCACACGGGGGAGGGGTCTCCCAGGCGATCCTGGCTACGTGACTGGAAGCTGAGCACCCTTACCATCCTCCAGGCCTCGGCCCCGGGGCCTGAGCTTGCTGCCCACCGCGGCAGTGCCTGTGTGCACCTCGGGGGTTTCAAACGTGGCTGGGGTCACATCTGGGAGGGGGGAGAAGGGAGGTAGGGATTAGAGTGAGTGAGGCAACTGCTCAGCGGGTTCTCCTCTCCCTGCCCCCGACCCCCACAAGGTCCTCTTACAAGGTGGCGGGGGTTCTCGGGACATCTTGCCCAGGGCAGAGCCAAACTTGATGGCGATCTGGCGCATCCGTTCCAAATCGCCATTCTCCTCGGCCTCCAGGTACTCCTTCTGGGCCTGCAGCTTCTCCACGTCGGGAAAGAAATCTCTCTGGATGACCGCCTGCAGGCCCTGTCAACAACAGAACGGAGCTGCCCACCAGGGTTCTCGGTCAACCCCCTTTCACGTGCCTGCTGAACGGCGGGGCTTCGTCAGAGGAGCCTGGGGCCCTGTGACTCTGCCGCAACACCCAACATTACTGCTCCGTCGTCTTTCCCGCCACTGACTGGTCCTTCTCATTCTCCCTTCGCCCGCTGTATCCACACATCCCGGGGGCAACCCTCTACTTTCTTTTTTTCTTTGACAGGCAGAGTGGAGAGAGAGAGAAACGTCTTCCTTTACCATTGGTTCACCCTCCAGTGGCCACTGCAGCCGGCGCGCTGCGGCTGGTGCCTGGAGCTGATCTGAAGCCAGGAGCCAGGTGCTTCTCCTGGTCTCCCATGGGGTGCAGGGCCCAAGCACCTGGGCCATCCTCCACTGCACTCCCTGGCCACAGCAGAGAGCTGGCCTGGAAGAGGGGCAACCGCGACAGAATCCTGTGCCCCGACCAGGACTAGAACTCGGGGTGCCGGCGCCGCAGGCAGAGGATTAGCCTAGTGAGCCGCGGCGCCGGCCCAACCCTCTACTTTCAGGCCAAATTCCCTTCCGCCGGAGAGTGCCGAGGCTGCTGCAGCCCCAGCCAGAGAGACCTTGCGCCTGAGCTGCACACCTGCCAGCCGGCGGTCCCCCGGTGCCACCCGCCAGCCAAAACCAAGCCGGCTTCCTCCCATCACCGCGTAGCTCCTTCCACTGCGCGCGCACGGGGGGACCACACCTACTGCACGGGCGCCAGAGACCACTGGCTCAGTGATGCCACCGCAACCGCAGGACCCTGTCGCCGCTCTCTAGAAACCCCTCATCGTCTGTCACGCCCCCCCTCGCGCGTCCACACAACACTTTAATGTCCTGAACTCCCAACCACAAACGCACGCAGGCGCCCCCTCTCCAAACGCCTCTTCCATCAAGCCCCCCTCCCGCTACACCGTTTAATTGGCTCTCGGGGCTGGCCAGAGCCCCCCACCCCAGCCCCCAAGGACGGGGCCCCGGCTGTTTCACTTCCACGAAGGGACCGAAATGCCAACACAGGAGACAAGGGACCCGAGAGGAGCGCAAAGTGGCAGCGGGAGCCGGAAGTCGGCGGCGTCCGCCCTGCGGTCGCACCTCGATATACTCTTCCTCGTCCAGCACTCGCTGCTTGCTGGGCGCGGCCCCAGAATCCCCCGCCGCGCGCTTCTTCGGCTGTCCGGAGGCAGCCGGGAGCAACAAGGCCCGGGTCCCTGAGCCCGGCGTCTCCATCTCTATCCCAGCACCGCTCAGAGGCTGCACAGGCGTGTCTTAGGGGCGGGACTGCACCGTGTGCGCAGGCGCCTTGAGCAGCTGGCCAATGGCGAAGCTGTGCGTTTGTAACGAGGGCCCGCGCACAGTACTGACGTCAGGAGGAGCGCAGCGCCTTCTGGGAGTTGTAGTGTTGGACATGTCCCGTGGCGTTCGCGCGCGTCTGGGCTGTGAGCACGCGGGGGCGCTGTGAAATTTCAGCACGGAGGAATCGGAATTGATCACAGACCACAAACAAATGTACGCTTCATCGTCATGAACAAAAACATAGGCTTCAGAAAACTTGGTTAGGTGCGCATTGCAGACTTTATGCAAGAAAAGCACTCCAGGACAATTCTTTCTGGATTGCTACCTAACACAGGGTTTAAAAAAAAAAAAAAAGTGGCTCAGGAAGAGTTTGAACTTGGGGAGCAGTGCCCTGGCGGGGAACGTCCCCGAGGGAAACAGCAGCTGGCTGTAGATCCAAAGAATGAATGTACAGGCGTGAGCGACCAAGGGCTGGAAGAGCTTGTGCACAGACACAGTGGCCCAGCAGGTCCCCAAGGACACCTCTGGATATGCAGAGTGCAGTGGACCGCGAGGGGAAAACAGACACAGGGCCAGGCTGCCGCAGGGCCTCTTGGGTCCCCGTGAGGAGTTCTGTCTTTATTCTGCAGGAAAAGGGGAGCCAGGGGTGCAGGTGGGCACGACTGGACACAGTTGCAATGGTCAAGGAAAGAGGTGGGGGTCATTGGAGCTGCACAGAAGGAAGACTGATTTAGGGGTCAAAAATTTCCCTGCTGGGACCAGCGCTGTGGTTCAGCAGGTTAAAGCCCCGGCCTGTAGCGCCAGCATCGCATCTGGGCACCGATTCCAACATAAAGGAGCCTGGAAGGGGGGAGGGGTGCTGTCCCAGCCTGCAGGGGAGCTGACCGGGCCACAGTCACATCCACAGATAAGCCAACTCAAGTTTCCAAGGACAAGAGTAGAGCCTTGTGACAACCGGGGGAGGCGTGGGCACGGGAGGGAGTGGACAGAGGAGCTACCTGTCCTGCAGGCATCTGGCAGGGTTAGGGCAGCTCTGGCCAGGGACACCAGAGCCGCTGGCCAGGCTTGGCTTGTCCAACCCCTACTGCTGTCCTAGTTTGGATGGCTGCACTGTGTCCCTGCAGGTACCGCCACTCCCCCACCCCCACCCCGCGCACCCCCAGGACCACGGGAAGAGACAGGAACAGGATGCTGAAGCTAGGGGAAGGGCTTCTAGGAACTTCTAGAAGCCTTGTTGGCACGCTGTCCATCACCCTGTGGTTCAGGATGGTGGAAGAACAGAAGGAGGAGGCGTTTGTCCAGGAAGTGGGGAGCAGTCTCCCCAACCCACCCTCCTCCTGCCCCATCCAAGGAGGGAGGCAGATCACTTCTCCCTACCCCCCCCCAGCATGAAATTCCCCAGGTGGAGGCACCGAGGACCTCCACCCAAGAAGCAGCACTTGGAAGCCAGCGCAGGGAGATCCCCGAGGGTGCCCGGTCACCGTCCCGGGAGCTCTCTGTTCAGGCACAGAGATTTGGGCTCTGGACTGATTCTGGTCCTGCTGTTGTAGCTGCTGGCTTATCGCTCGGTATCAGCAGGAGGCGCCAAGATTAGGGAGAAAGCAAGGTCCCTGAAGTCTCCATTCTACAGGTCTGCGCCCCCAGACCAAGTGTGGACTGTGATAGGAGGGGCCACAGTAAGGCGAGGCCAGCAGGGGTGCGGGTGCCACTGGGGAGAATCTGGGTGTAGGGGTGGGGTGGGCGGTGGTTCTGTCCCAGGCTGGAGTGAATGTCTTGTGGGGTGGGACTGTGAGGAGGTAGCGGACCCGCCCCACCTCCACGGCCCTCTCCAACGACCGTGCCATCGGCGCCCCGCGCTCGGTGCGGGCACAGCACCCTGCGCCTCAGCAGGGTGGCCGCGGAGTCGCAGCAGGGGCCGGCGCTGTCTCCCAGCACGCCAAGTCTGGCAGTCTCGTCTCCGGGCCAGGCGCAGCTCCTCCCACCCCACCCCACCCGCCTCGGCGGCCTCAGCAGCTCTCCTTGGGGGGTTTCTTGTCTCCGAGCCTCGCCGACGCCGACGCGCGCTTTTGGTGTCGCCACTTGGCTCTGCGGTTCTTGAACCAGACCTGAGGGAAAGGAGGGGGCCGCTGAGTTCCTCGGCAGAGCGCCCAGCAGAGTCCGTTGGGTGGGGTGGGCTAGAGGGGGGTTCCCGCCTGCGGTGTGGCGGGACGCAGGCTCGGGGCCGCCACAAGGGGACCCCTTTGCCACGCAGGTTGGTGCGCGCCTGAGCGTCCCAGATTCGGAAACGTGACATCGAGCCTCTTTTATCATCCAGAAATAAGGGGGAGACATGTTTCAAAAAAAGAAAAAACCCGCCGTCCTCCCGTCCAGTTGCGGAGACGCCCGCCCGTCCGCCCGCGCGCACGCACGCACACACCTGTCCCCGCGTGCTACTCCCCGGGACTGGCCCTGCGCCCCGGCGCTGTGGCCGGCCCCTCAGCGTCCGGCGCAGTGTTGGGCCGGGGAGGACGCAGCCCGCGGGGCCCACACCCACCTCCACGCGCTCCTCGCGCAGGCGGATGCGGCCGGCCAGGCGCTCGCGGGTGCCCACGTCGGGGTACTGGTTCTGCACGAAGAGCGCCTCCAGCGCCTGCAACTGCTCTTCGCTGAAGATGGTGCGGTGGCGCCGCGTGCGCCGCTGCGGGCCCGGGCCGCCCGCCACGGACAGCGCCCCGGAGCCTCCGACCGGCGCGGCCAAGGGCAGAGGCGCCGCGGGGCTCAGCCTCAGCGGCCAGGGCAGCCGGGCACCTGCGGGGCGAGGGCGTGGTCAGGCACGGGGCGGCGGCCGCGCCCGGAGGTCCCCGGCTCCGCGCCGCACCTCGCGCACTCACTCACCCAGCCCGGGGCCCGCCTCCGGGGACCTGCGGGGCGCGGCGCGGGGCCCGCAGCAGCAGCAGCAGGCGCAGGGCGCAACCTCGGGCGCCCCGGGCTCTCCCGGCTCCGCGGGGCTCTGGCGGCCGGCGGCGGGCGGCGGGCGGGCGGCCCGGGCCGGGGATGCGCGCTCGGGCAGGCTGGAGAGGATGTGCTCGATGGAGAAAGGGCAGGGCCGCCCTGGGCCCCCGCGGCTCGCCGCTGCCGCCGCCGCCGCCGCCATGCCCGGCTCGGCCCGCCCGCCCCGTGGCCACCGCCGCGGAAATATATACGTCGGGGAGGGAGCGCGGATCTAATCCCCGGACCGGGCGCCGCGTCCACGCGGGCTAATCCCGCCGCGCCGTCCGTCCCGGAGCGCACTAATCCCCTGCCCGCCGCTGCCGGCCGGCCTTGCGCGCGCGGGGGCAGACGCCCGGAACGCTCCCGGCCCAGCCCCGCCTGGTGCCCTCGCAGGATGGGTGCCAGTGCCAGGCACATGCCATCTTTTGCCCTGTTTCCCTTCGGGTGGCCACTGGAATCTTCACCTTCTTGAACCTCATCACACATCTGTGCCTGGATCCGAGTGGGGAGGGGGCATGGGAGTCCACGACCCTCCACAAGTTCTACCAGGAAAGATGCGGCAGGGTCAGCAGTAGGCATGGCCACTACAACACCTGCTGTGTCCCCTCCTCCTGGCCTCTCGGTCACCCTCCAGCCTGGCAATTGCGTGCCCTGTGTCTGTGACACACCCCCAAGCTGATCCCTCTAGCGGAGCGCCTCTCCCTCCACGCCGATATTTTTCAGATTTGCTCCAGATCTGCATTCCAGTGTCCATTGTTGGCATTTGGGGCAGTGAATCAGAGGGAGGAGGCAGAGGCATCTTTCGTGCACTGGTTCACTCCTCACGTGACTGCCACAGCAGATTCTGGGCCAGGCTGAAACCAGGAGCCATGGAGCTCCATCCGGGGCTCCTACTTGAGTGGCCGGGGCCAAAGCACTTGGGTCATCTTCCGCTGCTTTCCCAGGTGCATCAGCAGGGAGCTGGATTGAAGTGGCACAGCTGGGTCTCCAACCAGCACCCATATCGGGTGCCGGCGCTGCAGGTGGAGGCTTTACCTGCTATGGCACCCCCAGCGGTGGGTTCTACACAGATACCCTTTAGAGCATTGAAGGGTTATCGAGTGCTGTACCATGAAGACAAATCGTGTGACCCATTGCTCCTTGTGGGCTCCAGGCCTAGCTTGGCATTTCCTGCAGCCACATTGTTTCAGTCTCCAACAGTGACACTGACCTTGGCACTTCCTCTCCCTGCTGCCAGCCTTGGCCTCTTGTCTCGGCCGAGAGACACAGTTTGAGCATTCTCCCTGCACTCAGACCCAGGAGGAACGGCATCTGGTTTCCTGCCTAACCCTCGGGATCCTCTCTCCCAGGGAGGCCTTGAGGGTGCCTCAGGGTTAACATGGGGTTTGGATCCTTCCTCACGGGAGGAAGGCTTCAGGAGATGAGATCTGGACCTGAGAACCATTAAAAACTGGGCAAACGGGCAAGTGCTGTAGCATAGTATGTTAAGCCTCTGCCTGAGGCGCAGGCATCCCATATGGGCACTGGTTCTAGTCCCGGCTGCTCCTCTTCCAATCCAGCTCTCTGCTGTGGCCTGGGAAAGCAGCAGAAGATGGCCCAAGTCCTTGGACCCCTGCACCCGTGTGGGAGATCCGGAAGAAGCTTCTGGCTCCTGGCTTCGGATCAGCACAGCTCCGGCTGCTGCAGCCATTTGGGGAGTCATTCCCTTTCTCTGTAACTCTGCTTCTTTCTTTCTTTCTTTCTTTCTTTCTTTCTTTCTTTCTTTCTTTCTGATTTATTTATTTATTTGTTTGTTTATTTATTTATTTGAAAGGCAGAGTTACAGAGAAGCAGAGGCAGAGACAGAGACAGAGAGATTTTCCATCCAATGGTTCACTCCCAAAATGGGCGCAATGGCTAGAGCTGAGCTGATCTGCAGCCAGGAGCCAGGAGCTTCTTCTGGGTCTCCCATGCAGGCACAGGGGCCCAAGGACGTGGCCCACCTTCTACTGCTTTCCCAGGCCATAGCAGAGAGATGGATCAGAAGTGGGGCAGCCAGGACTCAAATTGGCACCCATATGGGATTCCCGCACTGCAGATGGTGGCTTTACCTGCTACGCCACAGCACTGACCCGCTTCATGTTAATTTAACTCATTTCATTTTCAATGGCCTTTTTTTTTTTTTAACAAAAGGTCTCAGTCTGGGTACTGGTGTTAGGACTTCAACATATCACTTTATCACTTTTTGGGAGACACAGCATTGCTAATATCATGTATGACGTTAGTTTATAGATCGGTATAATTTGCCTTTTTTTTAAGATTTTATTTATTTATTTGAGAGCTGGAGTTACAGACAGTGAGAGGAAGAGACAGAGAGAAAGGTCTTCCTTCCGTTGGTTCACTCCCCAGATGGCCGCAATGGCCAGAGCTGCGCCAACGGGAAGCCAGGAGTCAGGTGCTTCCCCCTGGTCTCCCATGTGGCTGCAGGGGCCCAAGCACTTGGGCCATCCTCCACTGCCTTCCTGGGCCACAGCAGAGAGCTGGATCAGAAGTGGAGCAGCCGGGACTCGAACCAGCTCCCATATGAGATGCCCGCGCTGCAGGCAGAGGCTTAACCTACTACACCACGGTGCCAGCCCCTGTGTGTTGCTCAGCCTTTCAATCAGAAAATAATTTTTAAAAAAATCATTAAAGTAACTGCTATAACTATGTTTGAAGACATAAAGGAAAAGATGTTCATAATAAATGAAAAAATTAGGAGAACTTGGCAAAGAGAAAAAATGCAAATGTTCGAGTTTTTGCTCTGTTCCTGATTCCAGCTCCGGCTACTGTGCTCCCTGGAAGGCAGCGGTGATGCCTCAGGTACCTGGGTCCCTGCCACCCATGGAGGGGCCCAGATTGGGTTTCCAGTCCCTGGCTTTGGCTCCAGCGAGGGCCATCGCAGGCATTTAGGGAGAGAAACAGCAGATGGGAGCTTTCTCTCTCTGTCTTCCTGTCACACTAAGAAATTTATTTATTTGAAAAGCAGAGTGACAGAGGATGAGAGCAAGAAAGAGAGAGATCAGTTTTCCATCTGTTGGTTCACTCCCCAAATGGCCATAACTGCTGGAGCTCAGTCAGGCTGAAACCAGGAGCCTGAACTCCATCCAGGTCTCTCATGTGGGTGGCAGGGGCCCAAGTACTTGGGACATCCTTGGCTGTTTCCTCAAGTTCATTAGCAGGGAGCTGGACAGGAAGTAGAGCAGCCAGGACTCTAATTGGTATTCCAATATTGGATGCCGGTGTTGTAGGCAGCGGCTTAACCCACTGCGCCACAATACTGGCCCCAATCTTTCCTTTTTAAAAAAAATTTTTTTTAAAGAGTCAGTGAAATCAAGATAGCTCAATAGAAATGACTGGGGTTGGTGCCGCGGCTCACTAGGCTAATCCTCTGCCTGTGGCGCCAGCACCCGGGGTTCTAGTCCCGGTTTGGGTGCCAGGTACTAGTCCCAGTTGCTCTTCTTCCAGTCCAGCTCTCTGCTGTGGCCCAGGAAGGCAGTAGAGGATGGCCCAAGTGCTTGGGTCCCTGCACCTGTATGGGAGACTGGGAGGAGGCACCTGGCTCCTGGCTTCAGTTTGGTGCAGCGCTGGCCATGGCGGCCATTAAGGGAGTGAACCAACAGAAGGAAGAACTTTCTCTCTGTCTCTCTCTCTCTCTCTCACTGTCTAACTCTGCCTGTCAAAAAAAAAAAAATGACTGGATCTGAACCACAGAACCACAAAGTGCCACAAACTTAGTGGGTAAGCAGGCACAGAGGTATTAGCTCACAGATCTGTAACACAGAAGGCTGACCTATGCAACACTGGTGAAAGCATGGCTCTGGGGCTCCACGCCTTCCTGAAAGTTTGGGGAGGGGATCCGTCCCCCTGCCTTTCCCAGGGTCTCATGGTGCCCTGGTCCCTTGCCCTACATTCCCCTCCCTCCCTCTTCAAATCCAAGAATATTGGATTATGCCCTATCTTCTGCCCTATCTTCCCATCTTAAGGGGCCTGGTGATGACATTATAACCCACCCCGCACCAAAGAGTGGTCCCCAGTATCACCAAGTCCTCACTTCATCACATTTGCAAGTCTCCTTTGCCATGGAAGGTAACATTGAGCTTCTGGGGACCACACTTACAATCATGGTGAAATAAGACTGTTTTACAAGGATGCAGAGAACTTGTTATTTGCATCTCTGCACGTCAATTAATACGAAAAGAAGGTCTTTAGGCTGAAGGGAAATGATGGCCCATGGAGATACCAAGCTAGAAAGAGCAAGGAGTGCATCAGGAATGCTAAATACGAGCGTAAACACAAATCACTGTCCTTCTTCTTCTTTCAAAAAGTGCAGATTGGGGCCAGCGCTGTGGTGCGGTGGGTTAACGCCCTGGCCTGAAGCGCCGGCATCCCATATGGGCACCGGTTCGAGTCCCGGCTGCTCCACCTCCGATCCAGCTCTCTGCTATGGCCTGGGAAAGCAGTAGAAGATGGCCCAAGTCCTTGGGCCCCTGCGCCCACATGGGAGACCCAGAAGAAGCTCCTGGCTCCTGGCTTCGGGTCGGCACAGCTCCGGCCATTGTGGCCAACTGGGGAGTGAACCATCCGATGGAAGACCTCTCTGTCTCTCTGCCTCTTTTTCTCTGTGTAACTCTGACTTTCAAATAAATAAATACATCTTTAAAAAAAAAAAGTGCAGATGACTGTAGAAAACCAACACTGATGTTTCATTTTGGCATTGGCATTTGGCACAGCTACCAGGAAACGTGCAAAGTGGCCTAGCCACAGAGCTGATAGAAACATTTTAGAATTATGTAGGACATTAAGGTAAGTCAGATGAGGCCAGGGAAAAAGGAAGCAAGGGATAAAAACAGGTGGGAGAGGAGCCGGCGCCATGGCACAGTAGGTTAAGTCACTGTCTGCAGTGCCAGCATCCCAGGTGGGTGGCTGGGTCAAGTCCTGGCTGTTCCACTTCTGATCCAGCTCTTTGCTATGGCCTGGGAAAGCAGTGGAAGATGGCCCAAGTCCCTGGGCTCCTACACCCACATGGGAGACCTGGATGAAGCTCCTGGCTCCTGGTTTTGGATCGCCCCAGCTCTGGTCATTGCAGCCAGTGGATGGAAGAGCTCTCTCTCTCTCTCTCTCTCTCTTTCTCTCTCTCTATCTCTCTCTATCTCTTTCTCTCTCAGTATTTGTGTGTGCATGTGTGTAACTCTGCCTTTCAAATAAATAAATAAATCCTTTTTAAAAAGGTAGGAGAAAGAGAAGAGAAACAGAAGAGTGAGAATCCTAACTTCAACATCATCAGCAATCACATTAAATATAAGTGGAACAAATACACCAACTAAAAAGCAAATGTTGGAAGACCAAGCTTTATAAAAGCATCAAGACCAAACAACATGCCGTCTACATGAGATGCATTTTAAACATAAGGCATTGTGGGCTACAGTGAAGTGATAAAGACGCCATACAGGGAGTGGAGTGTTTAGCCAAGTGGTTAGGACACCCATGTCCCGCGTTGGAGTGCTGGGGTTTAACCCCCAGCTCTGGCTCCTGATGCTAGCTTTCTGCTAACACGAGCCCGGGGAGGCACAGTAATGTTTCTAGTAGGTCAAGCACCTTAGAATGATCTCCTTGGTGGCCTCGCCTGGTGTCCTGTGTCCTAGGACCAGCACCCAGTGTTTATTTTGGTGCAAATACTTTTGAAATCCATGCAGATTTTTTCCACAATATGCACCTCCCACGGACTTTTTGGGAGCCCAAAGGTGATCTCCCCGCCCAGCTCCTCCACGCTCAAGGCCATGTGGAGCACACTCTGCTGCCTCCTGCCAGTGGGGCCCTCTTGCCTCGTCCTGCAGCAGCTCCTGCAGGCAGCCCCTGCCTTCCCTCCCTCCACAGGCTCGGCGCCTCAGCTGCTCTCTGCTGACCTGATCCCAGCTCACAGCAGGGTAACCAGCAAAGGCAGGTGGGGGCCAACTGCGAGGCAGATGTCTTAGGAGACAGCGGTGTCATCTGAGGTTTGTGCGTGGTTTCCACATGAGGTGGGGGCTCCCTTGCTCAGCTGGAGGGCACCCACCGCCACATCCCCAGGCATGGGTGAGAGTCCCAGTCCCTCACCATGCAGGCCCTGACTTTGATGTTTGAAGTCCCACCTCGCTGGAGTTCTGCACATTCCTCCATGGGCAGTGCCGCAACTCCACTGCCATCCACCCTGCCGCT